GCAGGTCATATCCTATTTATTTGAAAATGGGATGCATGTTGACATAGGGCTTATTTCAACATAATGTCAAAATGTTAAAATCTTTATGAAATCTTAACATTAAATTTTATGAAGGCAGAGATGTTTGCTGGGATGTGATGCTGGCGGCTAGGACCAAAATCAACTGCTGAAGATCAAAAAAACACAACACTGCCACAGGAGGGAAGGGGGTACAACCACAAACTCAGGGTAATCAGACCTGTGGGTTTTTATAATTTTTATTTTTATTGCTTGTTGTTAGTTATGTAATGTGATTTATATACAGTGCTTCTGAGTGCTGTATTAAATTGATAGCTCTTGCTGGGTGAACACACAAGTACTATCTTTCTTTTCTTTAAATGTGCTGAATTTTGTCTTAGAGAAGCCTGAAAAGTCTTTCCTCCCAGTCAGAGGTCTGAAGAAAGTGAGTAAGTATAGATAAAACCAGCTTGGTTAATCATCATTGAAACACAGGAAAAATTAAAATACATTTTTTGCTTGTAAAGTAGAGAAAAGCAATAAAAACAATGCCAGACGGTTAATGCCTCTCTTGTACCTTTCATTTCAAATACCTCAAAAGAACATCAAGAAGAATAAAGGCAAAATCTATTCCCTGTTGGCATCATTATAAATGTTGTATCCTCTAAAACTCTAAAGACGTCCAAGAAGAGTAGAAGAATAAATGGCACTGAAATAAAGAAAGTCTCTCTGGAGCTTTGTTCAATTGGCTTTGTTAGAATTCACTCAAATAGGATGATTATAAGAAAAGATCTCATTTGTTTCAACATTAAAGGAGCAAATTAATATGTGGCGAGCCGCTAATAGTTGCCTCATTATGTAGTGAATGGGCATTGCGTCCAACTTACAAAATTACAATTATATTGTTAAAGTAACAATTGGGAAAGTTTAGTCTGAATTTCCGAACTATCTGTATGATTAGTTGTGGGATTCACAGAGTGAAGCAGAGTTGGTGGTTGGAGTGAGCTTTCCGGCACACGAACAGGCTATAGTGCTAAGAATTCGCAAGAGAAATTCAGCTTTTCATTAGTGTAAATTACATCTGCATAGGTCCTGAGCTGGATTTGGTCCAGCTGTGAATCTGGCAGTCTCTGCTAAGACGGGAGCTTGGTGCATGACTGCTCTGTCAAGACATTGTTTTGTTGGACTCCAGCGACTTGTGCTGAAGTTTTGGCCAAGAGTTTGAGATCTGGCTTGAGATCATCCCCACTTAGGACTTCAGCAGACCTACAGGTCCGTGTCTGGGAACCTTGGGGATCCAGAATCTGCACCACTGGGAAACCTCCCTGTACAAATGGTCCTGTAGCTGGAATTTCAGTCTCTTGGTGGAGACATTTGAAATGGTTGGGGAGTTGTTTTAAAATGGAAAGTAACCAATTTTCCAAATATTGAAATACTCTCTGGAAGAGAATCATGTTTTGTGACCTACTTCTAGTTAGTTTTGCTTGTGACCTTTTCTAATTCTGTCTGTTTTTGTTATTTAATGATTTGACCTTTGATTCTGCGAAGCCACTTCAGTGCTAAATGCAAAGATTTAGTAACTAGAACTGTTTGATAAGTGACCTTTATTACACATCTATTTCTCCTTGCTAGAGAAACGGCACTGTTTTGCAAGTTCCAATTCACAGTTTTAATTATCTTTTCTATTGTCTGTAAGCTTGCACAGGAAATGGAAAGGTCAGACATTTCATTTTCTTTACTGATTAAAATATAAGTGCTCCTCAACAGTTACAATGTATCATTCAGGAAAAAGATGGGACAATTTGTCAGAATCATGCCCAGCTGCTCTGCTGAGGACTTCTACATCCTTCTGGTCAGCGACAAAATGAATAATTTTCTAGAAGCAATAATAGCTCAGCGCCCGTAGTGTGTAGATGTGAAATATGTGTCTAAATACATGAAACAACTGTAAACAATTACTGTTAAGTGCAAAACAGGTCACCAAGAGGGCACATTTTCTCTAAATCTCCATTTTTCAACTCTTTCTATTCCCATTTCTATGTGTAAGAATTGTCTCTCTGCTCCTGCTCCTGTTAACGCAAACAATACAGCAGGTTAAATGGAAAAGTGATCATTCCTCAGATGGGTTCAGGCTATTGTGGCCAACCTTGCAGCCAAAAATCTGTGTATGGGAAAACGGTGTGATGAATGTAGGACCCCAGAGTATGGGATGGGGGGGGGGCGGCAACAGCACATCACTCCAGCTCCTCAAGGATCATAGGGAGCTGTCAACTGCATCCTATTGCAGTAGCAGAAGCAGCAGCCACAACAACCCAGGTGCTTCCCAACCCCGGGCACCCAAATCCCTGTGCCTGAATGGCTACTGTGGGAGCCTCCTGGCAGAGGAGCTACTTTTGAGGAGCATTCGAGTCTTAAAGTGATGGGACAGCTGTACCTGAGCTGGGGTGTAATAACAAACAGGAATGTCTTGTTAAATGAGGAAAATGAGAACACTGCTGTATGTGGATTACTGAAACTGCCGCTTTCGTCTGTGACACTTATAAACCAACAGTGCAAGCTGCTGTCCTGTCTCCATGTGGGGGTTCGATGAAAGGATATTGATGTGTGTTTTCTCATACATTGAGGAAGATACGATGCAAAAAGATACTGAAGTCAGTGGATGATTCTGGTGTCAGTGGAATGTCTGTCGTGGGTGTCAGTCAGTCTCCTCACTCTCTCTGGGATCTCTGTTGGGAAATACGCGTATTAGCACATGTAAAGTTTCTCTACATTGTAAAAAATATTTATTCTGAGATGGGGCTGGGAGGGGTTAAGCCTCTGCCTCTATTCAAGAAGAGCAGATTATATGTTGACCTAATGCAAGCATTCAATATTATGAAAGCGCTTTATAAATTGGAACAAGATAAATGAATCACAACAAAAGAGCTAGAAAACCGGGGGACACAATGGCAGGAGTGAGTGTACTCAGTTTATTCAAGCAGAACAGTCACACTCAGTGAATAGAGAATGTGCAATCCATTTCTAACTAAGGTCAGAAAATCAAACAATTCAAAATTTAAGAGAGCAGCTCCATTTTTTTAATGGATAAGGAAGAATACTGTGAAAAGAAACCAAATAAAAAACAACACTGAGGTTGAGACAATTTAAATGCGATCAGATTCCTGACCAAATTGGCTTTTTTTTATCTAGTGGTTTCATATTCAGCAGTTGTTAGTTTGAAAGTGCACCCTGAAAGCTATAAATTAATCTGCTGGGATTGTAACAATTCACTTCATGTTAGGATGTGAGTTATGCTTGTGGATTTGTTTAGGTCACCCAGCCATGTCCTTATAATGTATCTTAGAGAGGATTTCTGTAACTAAGCAGTAAACAGAAAGACTGTTGTGTTGAGCTGCATCTCCTGGGATTTCATCCCAGCTGTCAGAGAGCTATACAGGACAGCTTTCTAAAACTACAACAGCTATAAAAAAATACATGGTGTTCTGTAAAGGAAACATTGACAATGCTTTTGCATGCAGTCAGGCAACTTTAACTCCTGATTAAATGAGGAAGGAACATTGTCATGAATGACTCACATAGAGAAATCAAACCAATCGCAATAGAGAAACTGAACATTTTCAGAAATCAAACCAATCGCAATAGAGAAACTAAACATTTGAAATTGTGAGATTTATTGCAGAAGTCTTGAAGGATGTACCTTAGTTCAGTACAATATTTGTCACCCAAAGATGAGCTATTTTAGCTGTTATAATTTGGCTCTCTTCAGATGTTTATCTCTTGTCACCATTATCAAAGAATTTGTTGTGTTGTCAGCCACCGTGTCCTAAGGTTATAGAGGTCAAATGTAGCCAGGATATTCATCCACACCAGCTAAATGAGGTGTGATTTTGAAGGGAAATAACCACAAGTCTGATCAGAAAAGCATCTAGCATGTATCAGGCTAAATGTCTGAAGAACATGAAGGGAGTTATTCCTAACAGACACTAAACCGAAGTCACTGGCTCCCAATTGGGAACATGACAGAAGATCAAGCCTGTGCCAAATCAAAAAATTGTAGATGATCTGTGGCCTGGACTGTCTTCTGTAGGTTTTTTTGATGATCTATTTATCATTTGGTTTTGATTTCTAACCAAACTTTTCATACAATCCAACTTAAATACAGGGCATTTCCTTTTATTCTGTTGGTATGAAAGAACCAAAAGACATTTACTATTTGTACTCTGACAAATAGATCAGATGGGTCCCTATATATCTGTTAGACAAGTAACTGTTCCTGTGTTAAATTCATACTGGAGAAATAGTACCCTAGAATGTGCTCAGGAAATAATGCCTTTGACTTCAGTTTGCCCAGGATTAAGTTCCTAGTTCACATGTCACCAGTCCACATGCTTCTCATTTTTCATGGGTCATAAACGTTCTCTGGAGAGAACAATGTATTCCTCTGTCTACATCTCCTTTCCAGCTGCAGGATTTTCATGCTACTAGGTTGCATTTTAGAGTTCCATCTCATGTTTGACTTCTATCACAAATTTGAGAACTATTCATTCAGACACATAAACACAGCCAGTGTATAGTTAAATTTCCAGCATTACTTTTTCTGTTCGTTTTTCCTGTTGTTGACAACACCTTGTTAAAAGAGAAAAAGGCATTGATGTAGACATTGTTTTCTGCTGCTTCCTTCTTTCATCGTTTTCCAGTGGAAAGAATAACATTTGGAAGAAAAAAAGGAATGATTATTTTTCTAGTTGACTTTGCAAGGTGGAGAACAAAGGAAAAGATTGGAACTGCCACCTATTTCACTAAAAAGGATTGTTTTCAGAGCTTTGTAGTGGTAGGGTTTTCTACCAGCTCTACCACATGGGGATTGTCAGGGTATTTTTTAAAGAGAAGCATTGCTATCAATTTGTTTGACTGTACCTGTCTTTCTTTTAACTGAATTTTCAGTCTTCCTATTTTACAGAGAAAGACTTGCCATATATTTTTGTTTTCTTTCTTCTAGCCTCTACAACTTGACTGTGACCTTTGTGCCATTGTATCAAACTCGGGACAGATGGCTGGCCAGAAGGTGGGAGCTGAGATAGACAAGTCCTCCTGCATATGGAGGATGAACAATGCTCCCACAAAGGGCTATGAGGAGGATGTTGGGAAGAGGACAACTGTAAGAGTGGTCTCTCACACAAGCGTGCCTCTCCTACTCAAGAATCCCGAGTACTTTTTCAGAGAAACCAACAACACTGTTTACGTGATCTGGGGACCTTTTCGAAACATGAGGAAGGATGGAAATGGCATTGTGTACAACATGCTGAAGAAAACCATTGACAGCTACCCAACTGCCAAAATCTACGTGACAACAGAAAAGCGCATGAGTTACTGTGATGCAGTATTTAAGAAGGAGACTGGAAAAGACCGGTAAGTCCTAAATTTGAAGAACAATGCAATGTTTGAAAAAAGATACATGAGAAGTCCATGCTGGATGCCAGCTACTAAATGGGTCCCCGGATATGTTTTTAATGGATTGTTATATGGTTTTGACTGTTATAAGCACTTGATGAGGCAGTAGCTAGGCCCCATTTACCCCACCTACGCTACCTTCTGTTCTTTCCATTTCTGTTGGCTTGAGTCCCAAAAATATTGGATGTCTTCCTGAAACGTTTTCAGAGCTGCATGTTGTTTTCAGCTCAATTTACTATTGATTAAATTGACATTTTATTTGAAGAGGATAATCCTACACAAACAACATTTCAAAATGCACAACCTCAGGATAATTCTGGATATTGTATTTTCTTCTCTGTTGAGCTTCATTGTAGCTTTTCTTCAAACACAAATCTCAGTGTTATGTATTATTTCTATTTCTTGGTGAAAATGGATTAGCAGTGATACTGTAATAGATCTAGGTTTTTACCAGAATTATGCTGAAATTCTGTTTTCTGTGACTGAGAATGTGTGTTTATCCTGCTCAAGTGGGACCTGTGAGGAGATGAAAGTGTGAAGACCACTGCTTGGCTAGCATGTTCAGAGCAGAAATTGGATTTGTGGAATTAAGACCACAAATTGCAGAATTACGTAATGGAGCTACAAAAAACTCAGATCATTTGGTTTTGGCATGGAACAGCACCTGTCATGCATACTCACTAGAGTTAACTAGGAAGGAGTTTCTAGATCACTGCTGTGCCTTAGTATTAATTTTTAAATTTGCATATAATGAATTTGCAGTTGTGAAGGACTGTAGCTATTCTGACCAAAGTAAAAATACAGGTATTCGCAGTTTAACTTAGTCTGAACTTTTGACTTAGCTTTTGAAGTAGAAGAGCTGGTTCTCTCGAACTTCCTTGATCCACTTTGTTATTGAAATGTCAAAACTTAGAATTGATTTTTCCTTTTTTTAAAACTATTGTAACATAGGGAAGAACTTGTTCCCCATGTGCACATGTTGCTGCTGCGATTCTGGAGTCAGAGGGAGCTCCTTTATGTCATAAAGGTGTCAAAGTTATCATGGCTTCTTTAGTTTAACTGAATGAGCTGATGAACAGAGGCTAATAGAGAAAATACTCAAGATCCGTTCTTCAAAAATGCCCTCTGATAATCCAGGTCATCCGGTGTACATATTAATGGAGCTAAATATGATCATGGGTACATTACTGCATTTCTAAACATGAATTTGTTTATATTTATGACTCTTCCATGTCAATAATCAGTCAGGTCACAGTGACTTCACAATACTTTATCAAAATCCTTATTCTGAGGTCAGACCTTAAAATATCCTATCAAAAAATATCACCATCTAATGTCAGCGTATCCTCATCTCCAGCCTGATCCATTCCTCTTCAACAAATGGACACTTCTCAAGGTTTTCTTATTACACAATTAACACAACACAAGTGCTTCTTCAATGGCAGATTGAACTTCTCTACTTCCATGCTTATGAACAAAGTTCTTAAGCAGCCTAATGTCAAAGTGGCACAAATTTCTTTCTCCTTAGTCCATTACAACAACGAAAAGCTTCACATTACAAACAGGGGTAAATTGTAAAGAGCCTGCCTCATGACCCACATCACATTGCGCTTACATGTGCCTCCCTTTAACACTGTGAAAAAACCCCAACGCTTCTCACCATGTCAATCGGATAACATCCTTGTAACTACTGCAACTTTCATTTTTAGTCCTACTTTTCCACATCAAATCCTAAGTGGTGTTTTAAACATCATTTAGTGCACTTGTCAGCCATAAGCAAGGGGAACAAGCGACGTGTCACCAGCCAACACCTTCTGTATCACAAGAAAACATCCTGCAGTTCCCTGCTCATCAAGAGACCTCAGTTTGGAAACTGTTTCATTTTCTGTAAAATCTCCAATTCACAGGACCCATCTGCTGTTTCTGCGGAGGGCCATGAGGCTGTTAGAGGTATGTGGCATTTGTGGAAGCAGTAAAGGGAGAGCACAAGAGATTTGTAGGTGATGAAAATAGTTTTGTGTGTTGTGCCAGACTATTATGATGCTGAGACAGACTCAGGTTTCTCAGCCAAATATTCCTTCAGTTCCTCAGAGAAACATCAACCCTTGCTTGCAATATTAGATTGAACAGAGGTCTGTTTCAACATGTTCCCAGCAAAAATTCTGGAAGGAAACCAAGTTCAACTCATATTTTAAAATGTAATGAGTGGATTGTAACCACATCTATTTAAGTTTAATCCTAAAATACTGTCTTTACATACCATATATGTTACTAATGCATAGTAAGATTGCAACAGATTTCTAGTCTGTCAAGCCTTTAATGAGCTTCTATTTCTACTCTTTGATGTACCATCCTTTTAGGTAATTACTGGGACTTTTCAGTAGTTTTATCCTAGTGGTGCTCAAGTTTTAAAGGATGTTACAAGAAGCAGCTAACAAGTACGTGCTGCAGTCATTTCTCTAGCACAGAAGAGCTCTGGTCCTGCATCACCGGTGTGGGAGCTCCATCCCTGACTTCACTGAGTGCAGGTTCAAAACCCACAGCTTTGGTGTTGAAAAATGATTTACCATGGAAGAAACAAGATTTGCCTCTAAATAACATCCAACAAAAAAGTTTGTTTATTTCACAATGAAACATTTTTTAATGCTACAACAATACAAAATACCCTCTGATATGGGCTATCCATGCTGGAGAATTAACCTTGCAGGTGGTGTTATGAATCTGGGGGACATATGTTCTTTCTGAGGGTCTTCATTAGTGAAGCATTTGAGTTCAAGGCGTTGAATGCTCATCCACTTTGAATAATTGTTGTACATAAATAATATTCATTAAGAGACATTCACAATTTTTCATTAATACATTTTACTTGGTACTTCCCTAGAGGGACCATAAAGCTGGCAGCTTCTGCCAGTGCTTGGCTAATGTTTTGGTATATTATATGTATTGAGTCAAGTGAAAGGATTTAAAGAAACATTAGGTAGTGACTAAATGTGGCATCTTTGTGTGAACTCAATCCAGGTAAGTGGTTCTAAAGCCATCTATATCTTTGCCATGCACTAGAAATATAATGTAATATGATATAACAACAACATTTAATTGGTAATAACAGATAAAACTGTAGTCTTCATTAAAGCAGCAGAGCTAATTCTGGTCTGATAAAGTGCACTGAGCAGCCCTAAATAGGTTTTAATTAGCTGGCACCAAAGCTGCACCACCCTTAGGGAGGGTAAAATTAATGAAAACTAGCAGCAAATGGATCAATGCTGCTGGATGTTATTGCCTTAGGTGAAGGTGATGAGGAAGAAAGGTGCGTCTTTTAAGGATCATTTAGAAAACAGGCTGTGTTAAAAGTCACTGTCAAAATGTAATGATAAAATAAATCTGTGCTAATATCAGTGAAACAGACTAATGTCATCCAGACTGAAGACTCTGAGTGTGTTCACACTACAGTCATCTCAGTCTAACCACTCAGCACAGTATGTCCAAGTAGTGCCTCTGCTGGCACAGCTCCACATCCCCCTTGGGGCTGATGGTGTGATCAGACCACTCCTGTCCCAGTGCACATGGAAGATGTGTGCTGATATTGTTCAAAGTACAGCTTAACTTGGTGTTTGTTAGTCACTCTTCTTATAAATAACTGCCAAAAAGAGCCTGCTGAGCTTTTTTGAGGAGATGTATTCTGAACTTCTAAAATTCCTTTTAAGAGACATGCGATAATGTTCTGAAACTCAGCCAGTTTGGTAGACAATTGACTTTTCACACACGCTGCCTTAACTCTGACAACACCCATCCCATACCCAAACAATTCCATTCAATTCAATTCAACCACATTTTATTGAGATTATTAGCTATACAAGCATGTCTACAGGAGGCAGGTTCACTGAGCCACATATGCTGTCAGATGGCTGCTGTCAGATGGCTGTTTCTGAAGGATTTTTGTTGATATCTTGGATGATTCCAAAAAACCTAAATTTGCTTTTGTGCTTCTCTCCCAGAAGTTCTTAGCTTCCTCTGTTTGTGCCAGATGGTGTGATGTGTTAGGTTGTGAGAAAGCTGTTTTGTCATTTGAGGCAGAAAGATGGATCATTCTGATCACAGACTTCTGCATCAAGATTCAAAATTTGGGGGTGTGCTCAACCTGCTATTTCACTCAGTTCTGCTCACTAATTATTTATTGCTTTGGCAATGTACGAGATCTATATTATGTCTGTCATTTAGAGCTAGCAAACTATATTCATCTAAAGTTCAGATTGACACTGTCGGACAGCTGCAATCATCACAACTTCACCTCAGCTAATATGTGGTTTTGATGAGTCTGACTAATCTACGTGAAGCTGTAGTCTAGTAAAAATGTCATTGAAGTGAATAAATGAAGTTACATTCTTTGAGGCTCAAGTAGCTGCAGCCTCTATTGTTTCATTATATTCTCTGTGAATTGAGGTAGTAAAGCTGTGAGTGGCAAGAACGTCAGAGTGTTATGCCATATTTCTGGTTGTTGGCTTGAATGAAATATTCTAGCAATGCTATTTCCACTTTTGCACTGGCTTGCATATACATATTAGTTTCCCTGTGTCCTTGTTTCAGCTGAGACAGAGTTTACTTTCTTCATAGTAGCTAGTGTGAGGCTGTGTTTTGGATTTGTGCTGAGAAGGCGGCTGATCACATACTGATGTTTATAGTTGCTGCCAGGACAGTCAAGGACTTTTCAGCTTCTCTGCTGTGCCAGTGTCTGCAGGGGCAGGAGAAGCTGGGAGGGAGCACAGCCCCAATTACTGGTCTAGGATTCAACCTTAAGTTTAGGACTGAGACCCAAATTGGCCAATGGTATGGTATATTCCATATCATGCACGTCATGCCCAGTATATAGATAAGGCTCTGTCTGGAAGTTCTCTCTCTTGCTCTGGGTCATCTGTCTCAGGGTCATCTCAGTCTCTTGGATGCTCAGGCTCTTA